TGAATGTTCATTCCCTCTATACTTTAATTCTAAGCCATAATATGTAACTTTATTATTTGCAACTGAACGAAATTTTTAAATTTTAATTTCATTATTCGTTTTAATGCTATTGTCGTTACGCTTACTTTATAATTTAGCTATAAAAGTTATTCCTATTTATTTTAATTACTAGCCTTTTTTATAAAAAATACTTTTTAATACGAACTTAAAATCTTAAAAGTGAATTTTTTACCTCCTTGATGGTAAGTGGTAATAAGACCAAGAATAGGTATGCACATTTTTATGAAAACTACAACATATTATATTAAGGTGACGTGAAATTATTGTGCAAAAATAAAACAATTTTATAAACATTGAATATACGGAAAAGGGTTGTTTGAAGATACAAAAAAGAATCTTAATATTTGGCTTGATACTAAAAAATCATAAAGATGACACTTAAAAACTTATGTTATCAGTGATTTTTAAATAATTCCAATTATGAATCATTAAAATAATAATTGTGTAATTATCGTTTTGTTTTATATATTTTTTAATTACAAATATAAAATAGATTATAAGTCATTGTATTGTCATAATAATTATCATAGACAATTTTCTCAGTTTAATTTAATTTAGAATTTGAGAGATTTGTAAAGAATATTATATAAGTATTTTCATTTTCTAAACAATTGTAAGTAATTGACTTATCAGTAATATTTATAACAGTGGTTTACTTATTTTAATACTATAAATGTATTTGGATTGTATAATTCTTACACATTCGAACTGTTGCTAGGTTCAGTTTGGATATGTAGTAGGGATAGCTACAACCATTGCGTGATATTATTTAAACGATTGCAATAATGACTAAATTAATTAAATAAATTAAATTAAATCAATAATTAATTTCAGGCCGTAAATGTAGTAAAGGAAACAACTAACACTCAGGCGTATTATTATTCCTTTCTGCGAGTCCTGTAATACTTATAAAACTAAATAATTTGTTTTTATTTTGATGAAATAAGTGGATCAGTTGACACGTTCAAAATCCATTACCCTATATATATCCTGTGGGTGTCATTAAGGAAAACGAAGGAAAAATAAAACAGGAGATGGGCAGCATCATTTTTTTTATAACAACCGAAAATAATTAAAAATTGCGGTTGTCAAACCGCCTACCGAGCGTGGAGACTATTGCGAAATCTTGCCTTTAAAGCAAAGTATGGGGTAGGCCTATGTTCAGCAGTGCACTTTTATTGGTTTCTCATGAATTAATAATAAAAAAATAAACAAAATCCATCGAGACATCTTTTAGGTTGGGTATAGGTTTTTTTTAATTCTCCCCTATTTAATATAAATTCGCTTGGCTATTGCGAGGAGCGGAGTTACGTTTTCATAACCACACACGATACTACAATAGGGCCTTATTGTAAGTAATATTTTTTTATAAAAAGGGTTATTGATGTAATAATACCTATTTTTTAAATCCATTTATAGAATTAAAACACAAAGTAGGATTATGTAATGAATCATCCTCAACATCCCAATTACAACTTAGTTTTTTAAACTCCCTAGAAATTTCCAAATTAACGGAAACAATGGCATATAAAACGAGTTAATTTAGGAAAACTTTTTCGTTCTAGTTTGACGAAGCCTTTAAATAAGAAACGAGATCATACCGAGATAGACAGATTTAAATTAAAATAGGGTTTAATGTATTAACTTTTGAGAAATGTTCATAATATATCAACTGTAGTATACTGTTCTTTTCTGTACTGCACTACACTGTAGGTGGCGCTGTTGTCAAGGACCAAAAATTACCCGTGCAAAGCAGGGGCGGATCACTAGTACATATACATAAACACTCATGCCTGTCACCCAGAGAGGTACGATCCTGACACTCCTCTCTCGCTTCCTCCACATACTTATACCTACGCATATCGTCGGTTAAAGGTAGTCTTAATTTTGCCTATTTTCGATAAACTTTTAACTAGGGCGTCCCTTCCCGACTCTACCTTTCACCTCTACACTCACTCTTTCCTCATTTATTCTTTTTACATGACCAAACCACCGAAACACTCTTGTCTTAATCCTGCTCACAAATCATCTTGCAAACAACAGTCTTCTCTTATCAGACCATTTCTCACCCTATCATTCAGATTCAGCCCTAAAGTACTCCTTAATGACCACATTTCTACAGCATTTATTCTACTCTCGTACTTCTTCTGCCACACCTAACTTTCACTACTATTCATTAAAGTAGGGACCAACACATTGTGAATTGCCATACGTGCCTTTATGAACATATTCTGACTTTCCACAACAGATTGTAGCGCCCCATTCACTCTATTTCCTGCGTTCACTCGTCATACTATACCCTTATCATATCTACCATCTCTGCTAAATACACATACCAAATACACAAACTCATCTACTTGCTCGACGAACTAGTATCGCTAGTAGTATACAAAAATCAAATATAATATGCTAGGTGATAGCACAATTTAAAGTATGCCGGTAGTTGTCGGGATCACTAAGCTCAAAGTTGTTAATGAGGTTTATGTTTACCTGGGACAAATAGTTCAACTAGATAAGTTCAACTTCGACTGAGAGGTAAATCGACGGATTCAACTCGGCTGGGCAGCGTTCGAGAAATTACGGCACATCTTCTCGTCAGGTACACCTCAAAACTTGAAAACGAGACTGTACAACCAATGTGTGTTGCCAGTAATGACCTATGGAACTGAGACTTGGTCCTTCTTTGCTGGCCATATGAGGAAGCTCAAGGTCGGTCAGAGAGCTATGGAGAGGGCTAAGCTCGGGGATTTTCTGCGTGATAATCTTAGAAATGAGAATATCTGCAGTAGAACCAAAGTGACCGACATAGCCCAATGGATTTGTAAGCTGAAGTGGGAATGGGCCGGCCATATAGCTCGACGAACCGACAACCGATGGGGACAAAGGTATTGAGTGGCGACCTCGTACCAGCGGATGAAGTGTAGGGCGTCCCCCCACTAGATGTAGTGACGACCTGGTAAGACGTGCTGTTGGCTCAGACCCTGCTTTATGGCTTTCCTTGGGGGAGGCCTATGTTCAGCAGTGGACTTGTGAAGGACTGTAATGATGATGCTGATGATTATTTACAGAGAACTTTTATTTTTTGCTGACGTAATCTTTAAATATTGACCAGAGGAATTTATGTACCCACAATACTTAAAATAATACTTATTTATGGCGTAAGGAAGTGACGACCCCATCGCCCACTGACAAATTTTATGTGACAAAACTGCTACGTTAGTGCAGTCAGTCAGCACCTTGCCAAGAGGTGTTAGCGCCGTGCCTCGGCAAAATTGAAGGTGCAAAGGCTGGTTTGTGCACATGGCCTCACCATGAAACGTTGCCGGGTTTGGGCGTCTCCCGTTAACTGACGCCCAGTAAATGGATGATGGAACTAAGAAGATTGTGCAAAGGGCCGCTACCTGGAGTTCGCCAGGGCGCGTCTGGAGCTGGCGCTGGACGTGACAGCATGTGAATCGCCAGCCGAGCGCGAGGAGCTGCACAACCATCCAGCAGCCCCTCGCATTCATCATCCCCACCAGCTGGCAGCTGGCTTGGTGTTGGCAGGGCCTTCGCGGGCCCAGCAATCAGCACCTACCACTGGTGGAGAACGCCGCATGCGTTGGTCAATGAAGATAAACAGCAACGCATTGCGGGCGTATTTTAGGGCGAAGGGGGGAGAAATTGGAGGTTTTGCGTATCGGGCTAGGATGCATCAACTTTTTGGTGAGCTGGAGCCACCTATAACCGTCACCGAGCAAAACCTGGCAGACCGAAATCGATATATCTTGCGTTCAAACATATTTGATAGCACCGAAATCGAACGGCTACGACATGAGGCTGTACCCTGATCGAATGAAAATAATACAGCTGAGGGTGCGACGCCACAAGCTGCAGATCAACCAGCACACATGGTTGCCGCCGTGAATCTTTCAGTTGTGATTGGTTTAGACGATGATGGAACAGTCGCCCAGGAACTAGAACTAGAGCAAATGAGGAGTACATTGGAAGAGGCTATTTTGGAAATGCGCAGTACGCCTCTCGAAAATCGACCGCGACTTCCCCGCATACCCTTAAGCAAGCGGAATCAGGCTGTCGTGAGGGTTCTCAACTCAATGCTGGTGACCTATTTGGAAGCCAGCCGGGACCTTTGCGAGACGGACTCAATTCTCTTTGGCGCCGCACTGGCAGTTTGCCGTATTATTTGTGCCAAACTTCCCACGGCTGGATGCGCTACTAGGCAAAGTAGCGCTATCCCAGCCTCGAGAAGAAGGATTGAGGACCGCATCGCAAAAGCAAGGGCCCTCATCGGCAGACTGATAAGCTTCAGATCGGGCAATAATAGGCCGAGAATTGTGCGCAGAATCGCTGCTTGGGGGAAGCGGATTCGGCGATATACCGAGATGTAGACACGGTTCAACCAGAATCTCTCGTCTCTTCCAGAGTGTTCATAAGAGGCTATATGAATCATTGGAGCGGCCAATGGTACGTGGAACGGGCTCAGCACCGAATCAGGCCGACACTGTCGCATTCTGGCGCGGCCTGTGGTCAGAGCCCGTCAACCACAGCGAGGGCCCTTGGACGGAAGTTGTGAAGTGTCAGTGTGCGAATGTTACGCCCATGGACCCCGTCATTATAATGCCGGATGAAGTAGCTGATGCGGACCGTAGGGCCCTGAACTGGGAAAGTCCGGGATTCAATGGACTGCATCACTACTGGCTGAAGGGGTTCGTGGTGTGTCACGCTGTGCTCGCCCGAGAGTTTCAAGTGGCTCTCGACCAAAAGTCGCTTCCGACTGGAATCACTCGTTTGGTTCCTAAAGACCGGGATTCCACAGACCCGAGCAAATACCGCCCCATTTCGTGTCTACCCACCATATATAAGACACTGACATCCTTTTTGAGTACGCGAATTATTCGTCACCTGGATTTAAACCAGGTGATGTCGCGTGCTCAGATTGGATGCCGGGGCGATGGCCGTGGATCAAGGAACCACTCCTCATTGACGCCACTATTGGCAATGTGGTTAAACGCAACCGTCGGGACTTCTCCGCCGCCTGGATAGACTATAGAAAGGCATTGGACTCGGTGCCCCATACATGGCTTAAAAGGGTCCTCGAGCTGTACAAGGTTGAATGTACGGTTAGAGACTTCCTTGAACAACAGTATATGGGGCAGTGGAGTACGATCCTTTGTCATCTAGGCCAGCGGATGACGGCTGCGAAAAACCACATAAGGATAAGAAGGGGTATCTTCCAGGGCGATTGTTTGAGTCCAATCTGGTTTTGCCTCTGCCTGAACCCTCTCGGTACCTAACTGAAGGACTCCGGGACGGGATTTCAGCTTTGGAAAGGAGGGATAAATGTGACCCACCTTTTCTATATGGATGATCTCAAGTTATTCGCCTCCAGTCGCTCCCATCTTATGGAACTGCTTAACTTTATTTTAGTAGTTTCATTTTAGTTGTTCAATTAGAATGGAGCTGGGCACGGATAAGTGTGCGGTCCTCCATGTTTAAAGGAAAAGGGTTGCTAACTCTGAGGGCATAAACTTATCTATGCCCATCATTATAAGGACCCTTTCCGAGGCTGAAACATATCGATACTTGGGTATTTCACAGAACATCGGTGTAGATGAGGCCGGTATGAAACAGTCAGTTTGCGATGTGTTTTATACACTCTTGACCAAAGTGCTTAACAGCCTTTTGTCCGGTGTGAATAAGACGCACGCGTATAATGGTTGGATCATGCCCGTTCTCATGTATACCTTTGGCATACTCAGGTGGACTCAGACCGAACTGAACGCTCTGGACAGAAAAGTCCGCACTATTATGACGTCCCACAGGATGCATCATCCGAGATCGTCAGTAATAAGGCTATAATTGCCGCGGAAGCAATGTGGACGCGGCTTTTTAAGCGCGCTTACCATGCATAATCGCGAAGTGTGCAGCTTCCGTAATTACTTTCTGACGAGAGCGTATGATCCATACTATAGGGACGTTATTTCTTGTGATAAAGGACTTACCCCTCTATCCTTAACCAACGAGCAATTGCAAGACCCGGCAGTGTAGAGCATTTCCGACCGAAAGACCGTATGGAAGGAGAAGGAGCTTCACGGGAGGTTCTACAAGGCTCTACATGAGCCTTTCGTAGACACAGTCGCCTCCCTCCACTGGCTACGTTTCGGTGACCTCTTTGGGGAAACCGAGGGTTTTGTCTGTGCGATACAGGATCAGGTTATTAATACTAATAATTATCGGAGATACATCGTAAAGGATCGCACCGTTGACATCTGTCGAGCTTGTCGCCATCCCGGTGAGTCACTTAGGCATGTCATCTCCGGTTGTTCGGCGCTTTCTAGCTCTGAGTATTTGCACGGGCACAACTTAGTAGCCAGGATTCTACACCAGGAGCTCGCTCTGAAATACGGTCTCATGGAACTGCCGTATTATAAGTACTTGCCGGAAGTCGTGCTCGAAAATGACCGCGCCAGGCTCTACTGGGACTGGGCCATCATCACAGACAGGACTATTCTTGCGAATAAGCCTGATATTGTGCTGATGGACCGGGCACAGTCAAGGATATTTTTGGTCGACATTCCTATTCCTTATGACGAGAACCTCGTGAAAGCCAAAACATATAAGCTGATAAAATATCTGGACCTGGCTCACGAGGTGACCGACATGTGGGGTGGATTGCCGGCCGAAATTGTACTTGTAGTCGTTTCTGCGAACGGGTTAATCCCAGTCAACCTCTCGGGTCATCTGAGGCGACTGGGACTCCGTGACGGACCGCTCCAAGCTCAAATGCAGAAGGCAGTGCTCCTCGATACTGCCCGCATCGTCCGCCGGTTTCTTTCCCTTTCCCCCTAACCCTCGGCCGTTTGGTCTCCCCTACCGAGGGCTTCCATCTGGTTGGGTTTTTATATATTTATGTACTTTTATGTATTTATTTTATTTTATTGATATTTATGTACGTTTACCAAGTTTATTTACAATATAATAGATCTATAATAGATTTATTTATAATAGATGAGAAAACTTTATAGATACCACATAACTCTACTTGAATTTTTAATAAACCATAACAATACGATTTAGAGTAATAAAATAAAAGTTTCTAGGTAAAATAAAATAAATGAATAAAGTGGTTTCTAGGTATCTAGGTAAATGCGACTTCAAAGAACTAAATAAAATACGAGTAAAATTATTTCAAATTCTGAAGTCGGTGCTAAGATATAATGTATAGAAGAATTTCGGTCCCGATTTCAGAATAAATTATTTGTTTTAACTTTTAAGTGGACTGAGGAATATTGTGTAAATAGTTACATTAACATCTCCTATTTTGACATCATTCGGGGGTTGAATTTTTTGTTCAAATTAAAAAAAATTAGTTAATTAAATAAATAAGTAAATTAAACACAATAAAATCCGTTAAAATAGTTTTATCCTCAGAAGTGATAATACATCTGCATTTTGATTATTATTCGAGAATAAATGTTAGAGCAATTAATAATTATTAATTACAGTTACACACATCATTTATGTATACATTACATTACAATTAATAATTATTTATGTATGTATATGTATAAAAAAAAATTAAATAAGGTTAGGTACGTAATCTGATGTTCAAAAAATATTTCTACTCAATTCTTTGGTTACCGTCTTAGATATAATTTAAGGACACAATAATCTATAGGAAGTACATTATCCTTATAACGTACTTCCTATAACTTAAACCTCAACTAAGTTTTATAAATTTATTCCAAATTGATAGCTCACCTCGTTTAATATTTCAACGTCGGTGCCCAAGTTCACTGTAACAAAAAAACGATTATAAATTATATGTGTCAACATCATCAATTGTAATCACAACATGTTATTACGATGTTTTAATTTAACATTTGAAGGAAAAGCTCGTTTCTTTTTTATAAAGTTAATGGTGACAAACAAGCACATTATTCCACCTAATGGTGATTGGTTACTTTGCTTTTTTTTATATAGGATAAGGGTGACAAACGAGCATACAGTCCACCTGATGGTAAGTGGTTGCTGTGGCCCATAGACATCTACATCTATCCTCTATTACAAATCAATATGTAGATGCGTTGTCACCCGTGAGGACTAAGATGGAATGCCTCATTTCCAGTAAAGAGGGCCTCCGGCCACCTGCACTCACCAAGCGAAACGCAGAGGTAAACCTCTACTTCACGCTGGTTTTCTGTGAGGTCGTGGTACCACCCCGGTTCGAGCCGGCCCATCCGTGCGACAGCAAAAGCTGCCGCGTGGCTCTACCACTTACAAAAACCTGCTCCATCGACACCTAAAGCCGTTATCCTTTAAGAATATAAAGTTGTGTTGTCACCCCTAAGGAAGAAATACCTCATTACCAGTATAAAGGGTCTCCAGTTCTCTTCTCGATCGACTAACGATAAGAAATGCAGCATCATCATGCATTTCACGCTAGCATTATTAGTAGTGGTATTATTTGTTATTTTAAGGTATTCTGCGAGCATGGATTCTTACATGGTAGAGGGGACCCATTTATGCTGCAACCATAACACATCACCAACTTGGATCTACAACGTAAAAATCCTTTATGATACTTGTCATGTTATAAGTATTCTTATTCCATAAAATATTACAAAAATAAAAAAATGTTTCACAATTTACTCATTGTAGTTTTTTTTTTAATTTATCTGTGTAAAAAGTGTCCAAGATATAGGATATCCTCATGTGGAAGTATAATTTTAAAGAAGAAAATAAAATCATTCATTATAACTAATGCTTTAGTTTCTTTTAAGTATATTCTTGACAATAATGTGTAAGTTTCGAAAATACCAATTCCGTTGAGCGTTACAGAATATCAAATATGAGAATTATTAAGAAATAATCTATTTTTCTTGTCTGTTTTTAGTATTCAAGAGGGTGCTAGCGGCTGCTTAGTTGCGGTAGTGTGAGCGAATCTATTATCTCAATTCGTCCCGTGGGTGTCGTATGTGACGACTATGGGAAATACCAAAAAGAGCTCATAGAGACCTTTGTTGTCAAAATAAATGTAATGTATAAAAAGTACGTAATATTAAATACTCGTGTAATTACAACATACTCGTGCATATCGCACTCTCCGCCGAATAAAGTCGTAAGCGCTATTAAAACCTCCCTAATTTAAATTATAATCTTTATATATAAAAATTACGTATCACATTGTTTGCCCGCGATGAAGTACTAAACTACTGAACTGATTTCAATTAAATTTTTCAAACTGTGTGCAGTTTGGTCCAACTTGAGAGATAGGATAGTTTTTATACCGATAAGTGGCCCTCAATATTTTTTATTGCGAATTTAAGAATTTTTTATAGGTAGCGTCTTCGGAAAGGACAAAGCAACGTCTGCCTGGTCAGCTAGTATATTATATTTCTTCTTCAACCACCAAAAATGTAAACAAGAATTCTTAATTCTTTGAAAAAAATACAAATGTCTGGCGGTCGAACAAAGTCGAAATCAACACATACTGGTTTTAATAATTGTATTGTACATGAGCTTAAAGTACTTCATCACGACTGGTTACTTCTTAATAATATGGATTAAATTATATTATAGTTTAATTAAATATTTAGTAACACGAGTGCATTAAAGCATTATAAGGCGTGATCCATTTCGAGGTTCCCTACTTTTTTAAAGAAAAACACAGAAAATTCAAATTTAATGAAGAATGTTTATTATCATTTGAAAGAACATTCTTTGGCATTTATTTTTTGAAGATTATGTCTATCAAATGTTGGCCGTTGCTACGTCGCAGATAGTCCATCCGTTGAGTCCAATTTTCGATGACTCGTTCGAGCATTTCGACTGGTAACTGGTGAATGACACGCGTGATGTTTTTCTCCAAGGCCTGAATCGAAGCGGATTTATCCGCATTTAAACTAGACTTTACAAATCTCCACAGGAAAAAGTCTAACGGTGTGATATCACACGATCTTGGTGGCGAATCGACCGGCCCAAAACGTGAAATTATGTGCTCACCGAAATGTTCTCTCAATAAATCCATTTATTGATGCGATGTGTGGGAAGTGGCGCCGTCTTGTTGTAACCAAATGGCGCGGAGATCACGAGCTTCAAATTCAGGCATCAAATAGTCGGTTATCATGGCACGATTATAACGGTCGCCATTGACGGTTACGTTCGCACCGGCATCATTTTTAAAGAAATATGGACCAATGATTCCACTGGCCCACAAACCACACCAAACCGTTGTTTTTTCTGGATGAAGTGGCAGTTCTTGAATTTCTTCAGATTGCTCTTCGTCCCAAAC